GTGTATGTGTATATATATGTATAGATAGATAGATAAATATAGGTGAGTTTATCCATATTTTAAACTTTATTAAGCTAGCTAGCATTAAGGGGTTAAAGGAGTATGAAGAAATCAATGATATTTGCAAGTGTATGATTATAATATTGTACCATAGAATAGCATGAAGGAGTGAAATAGTAAAATATTAAAAGATTACTGAAGGATTGGAAATCTTTAACAGAGAGGAAAATTGTTGCACTAGAGTTATTAGAATGAGTTATAAACAGAAGAGGTGTGAGAGAGAGAGAGAGTCAGAGGGAGAGAATGAGAGATAGAGACAAAGAGAAACAGAGAACTAAAATTGAGATTTAAGAAATAGTGTGATTGATTACAACATGGAATTGGGTGAGATGGGTAGAGAAATTGGTCAATGGACATGAGATCAATAAAATGAGAGACCAAGACATTGGATGGACTATTGAATGAAGTTGTTGTTTAAGTTACTAGACATCATGGTAGGAGTAGGAATAGAGAGTAAAATGTGCCAGATGCTAAAGTCATCAATAAACAAGAGAACGGTCACCAGGATTATAACTAAAGAGAAGAAGTATAATTTGATTACATGAGCTTCAAATTATCTTGGTTGTTTTCAGGAGGATTGGGGGAGAGTCATTTTGCTAGGGCATGTGGCTTTATAATGACTTTCCCACACAATACGTTCATCAAAGAATTAAAGTCTACAGGACAGCCAAGAAGATTTTTACTATGGATCTGGAAGTAAAGGATGTGAGATGAGTAAGAAGTAAAAGATTTGGTTAGTTGATGGCAGTTGAATACATGCCAGTGATGAGCTCAGCTAAGAATATTGAGGGGTACCATCTTTAAGGGGAAGCAGAAAAGAAGGGACTATAAAGAAAAGTGAGAAGAATCTAGAAGAGGTACCACAATGAGTGCTACAGAATACAGGGGGGGAAACACTTCAAGAAGGAGGTAGTCATTGGAGGTATCAAAGGCTAAGGAGGTGTCAATGAAGATAAGAACAGAAGACTGTCCTTTGGATATACCAATATGAGGTCATTGATGACTTTGGCAAAAGTAGCATCAGTAGAGTGATGAAGCTGAAGTCAAATTGAAGAGAGAAATGAAGCTAAAGAGGTGCAGTCAATAAGTGTAAATTCTTCTCAACAAGGTCAGATATGAATTCTGTGAAGGAAAAAACCAAAAAACAACCAAAGAGAATAGTGGAGTTTGGAAAGGATTTATTGTTTTAAATAAAGACTCT